CAGCCCCCAGAAATACAGCTATTTCCAAATTAGATTGTTTCAAATTGAAAGGATGATGAAACAATTATATATTTAAAGTTTTTCCAATCCTAGCATAGCTATTTTTATTTTTATGCGTTCCACATGAATCATATTTTTATATATCATCAAACATCTGTTGAATACTGACACGTCAGACAAGTTGCTGCTCTAGAGGAAAAGACTGATGTGCAAATAGGTGCTGTTCCTTGTCCATGAGCCTCCTTCCTCCTTCTATCTCTTCCTGGTACTGAGTGTTTAAACCATAAGGCAGTTAACATTTGATAATGAGCATTTTTGTGTTAGCAATGACTTCATAACTAATTCATCCTAACTTGGTGGCCCACAGTGAAAATGTGCAGCTATTTCATTATAGAACAGATACACAGGGTTAAAAAGGAAACCAATTATATTGAAATACAGTTATCAAAATATATTTTAAAGTCCAGTACAGTAATAGTTATGCTTCCTATTAAGGTCTTGAGGTGGCTGAAGTAAATTTCAAGGTAGTAATTAATGAATATAAATGATATTTTAAGATTTCTAGAGCAATTCAAATATTAAGTGAAAATGTCTGTAACATCTGATGATAAAGTCATAGGTGCTGCTGCTATTACTATGGTTTGTTGCTCACATTCATAACTGAAGAAGAAATATTAAATTTCAGATAGAGGCTCGGTGCAGTGGCTCACACCTGTAATCTCAACACTTCGGGAGGTTAAGGTGGGAGGATCACTTAAGCTGAGGAATTCAAGAACAGCCTGGGCAACATAGTGAGACCCTGTCTCTATTAATATTTTTTAAAAATACAAATAAATTTCAAATTGAGGTTAATGAAATTATAGATGTAATTTTTTTCTTATCAAGTTTACGGAATTCTATACTTTTACAGCTGGAGTTTAAGAACTACTACTATGGAATGAGTCCGCATTTTAAGGCCCAGAATGTTTTTCATTTGTTGAGATTTCCTTAAGATAAATACCCATGAGTAGTACAGCTGGGTCAAAAGGTATACAGAACCATTAGTTTATGCTAAAGATGCCATCTGGCTTTCTTGAAGGGATGTACATGTCCACAGTGAATGAATATACATCCATAGACCTCTTGAGTCTTTGGATCATATGGTTGGCAGGCAGAGAACCCTATAGATAGACCACCCATCCTAGCAGCTCACATTTGCTGCCATTCTGTTAAATGCTGGTCATCTGGAATTGTTTATTCTCCTCATGTTATCATTCCAAGCCAGAAAAAAATCATGAATATTCAGGTGCTGTTTACCTAATTCAGGAAGACCCCTCCCAGGAGTATGAGGAGGTCTTTTGTTGCTCTTACTCTGGAACCACTGTTTGGGCAGCCCAGGCTGCCTGCCAGACGAGCCCTCCAAGCCCAGGATTCCTCTCCTGTGTGCCCACAAAGCAAACACACGCCCCTGTTTGCCAAGTGAATCAATGGAGTCTTTGATGCTTTGAGAGAATTTGACATAGCCTGCCAATTTAGCATTCACAGAAATGGTTAAAAGATTGTGGTTTGCTGCATTTCTAGCCTAAAAAGAATCTGGCTAGTGGTGTCTGTGATGCTTTTGTATATAGAATCAGTCCCCTTAGTTTGGCTTTGGACAACATAGATATTGGAAGTAAGCCATTCATAGTAAAACATATTCAATGATTCTCTTCACAATGGTGGCCTCTGTTTCCAATCTCGGGCTGTGTGTATCTAACAAACCATTCTAGTCTCAGTGAGCAGCCCAGTGTGTGTCAGACATGTTATTTACTCTGGAGGTTGTCTTAACCTCACAGATCAGCTAGATGATCATTTGTGTGGGGTTCTGCTGACCCCCAGCAGTGTGAGCTCACTGACAGGGGCTCTAGCTCCATGTTGTTGCCCACTGCTGTCTCTAAGGAGGAATCTAAGAAGAACTTAGATTCACCACGGGACTTCAAGGATTCTAACAAACAAGAAAGGCTGAAACTGCCCATGTCTCTTCCCTTATAGATATGAAGATTTCACTTGGGGGGGAAAAAGCTCCACAGCTAAAAGTATTTTCACATCCATTGAGTGACAACTAAGGTCCTTCCCACCTCAGACCTCTCTCCTTTAAAAACAATGCCAAAGCCAGGCCCTGCCATGTCCTGGTTTGGGACAGACTGGCTGAGCTGTTTGGCTTTCTGGGTACCTTTTAATTGCCAGTTTTTAGCCCCTTGGGTACTCTGTTCAGTGCATCCGTTTTCCTTGAGAAGCTGGCACCCCCTTCCCAGAGTACTGGTGGGATCTGAGGAATGAGCTGGGGTTGCCCAGTAGATGCAAGTATCCTGCCTCAGCTTCCTAGAGAGTAGCTCCTACAGTATTCTTGGAATGAAAGCTAAAAACTGGCACAGGATCTATTTGATAAACAGCTGTCATTTGTAGCCCTCCTCCAGATGACTAATGCAGAGGGTTCTCTGATGGAAAGATCAACACTCAGATTCCCAGCCCTGGCAGGTTCCTTTTCCTGAACCCCGCAGGTTACTGCCCTGTTGAACCCTTGTTTCTCAGAGGATCACTGAAGAACAAATAGTTGAATTCAGTAGTCCTTGTGCATCTTCTCTCTGCCTTCATGAAGCCACCCTTGGTGTTTTTATATGACCAACCACGGAGAGAGACTGCCTGATTGACCTTCTCTGATGGAGCCATTTTTTCTCTACAGCTCCTAACCTTACCACTATTATTTCCCCTAGATTGATGCCAAGAAGGAACAGCTAGCAGATGCCCGGAGGGACCTGAAAAGTGCTAAGGCTGATGCCAAGGTCATGAAGGATGCAAAGACCAAGAAGTACGTACCTGGTATTGTGAAAGTTGGGGGCTGGTAGAGAAAAGTTTGTGTAGCATCTGTCAGAGGCCTTGGGGCCCCAGCTTTTCTATGGTTTCTGAGTGATATCTTTTGGAAATCTCTGTACTTGGGCTTTTATTGACTCGAAGTGGCAGGATGGGTACAGTGTGCCCTTGTCGTGAGCCCAGGCCTGGTTCTTGAGGACTCTGCTATTCTTCTAGGGTAGTAGAGTCAAAGAAGAAGGCCGTGCAGAGACTAGAGGAGCAGTTGATGAAGCTGGAAGTTCAAGCCACAGACCGAGAGGAAAATAAACAGATTGCCTTGGGAACCTCCAAACTCAATTATCTGGACCCTAGGATCACAGTGGCTTGGTAAGTGTTGAGCCCTCCTTGAGCTCCTACTGCTAGCTTGAGAAAGGTGGAGGGGGTTTTGAGGGCAGTGATGGCCTTCACATGCCATTCCTAAGCTACACACTTCTAGTCCTGTGGGGAAACTTCTGGCTTCAGCTGTGTACAGGGTACTCTGGTTGCTGAACCTTGTCTGTAAATGCATTGCAACATCCTGGATGGTCCTAAATGATGGTCAGTGCTGTCATACCGGCTTGTAGTGTATGTTATGCTTTTAAGAGGCAGGTGCCATCCCTATTCCTTAGGGAATTTTAGGACAGGAATGGAAACTCAGCCTCTGGAAAAATAGGAAAGAGCCCATATATCTATACCCTTCAACAGAACTTTTCATTAATTTTTTTGCAGTTGAAGGTAGGAACAAGAGATAAAAACAAAGAATACAAACAGAGAGGTAGAGGGACCTTTAACAAAGGCAGATAAATATTGGGTTTCTCTCTGTGTGTCACACACACTGTCACATAATAACATCTGAAACAAGTGGCTTTGTTTTGAAAGATGTTGAGTTTGCCCTGTTAAGTTCTAGGCATAGGTGGAGATATCCTCCCCTAGGGCACTTGCTAGTCTGGGCCAAAGGTTCCACATAGCTCTTTTATACCTCTTTCTGCTTGTTTTGCCTTGTTTGGTGCTAGAGGTTTGATTAGCTCTTGAAAGGCTATATAGTATAGTGGTTAGTAATATGGAGGAAAAATGCTTGGGTTCAAATTTCAGGTCACTTATCAGCTAGCTGTGTGAGAAAATAAATTACCTAACGTCTCTGCCTCAGTTTCTTCATCTGTCCCTTTTTCACTTGTACATCTGCAGAAGCACCTACTTTAGAGATCACTGTCAAGATTAAATGGGTTGATCACATGAAACCCTTAGAACATGATTGGTGTGCCATTAATTTGCATCCTCACTAGACAGATGTGAAAGAGAAGATGGAACATCAGACCCCAGGCCTCAAATCTGGGCCATTGCTGAGTCACACTAATCCTCTTTATTTCTCTCTTGTTTGCAGGTGCAAGAAGTGGGGTGTCCCAATTGAGAAGATTTACAACAAAACCCAGAGGGAAAAGTTTGCCTGGGCTATTGACATGGCTGATGAAGACTACGAGTTTTAGCCAGTCTCAAGGGGCAGGGTTCTGTGAAAAGAACAGTGTGGTTTGGGAAAGATGGATAAACTGAGCCTCGCTTGCCCTCGTGTCCGGGGGAGAGAGGCAGCAAGTCTTAACAAACCAACATCTTTGCGAAAAGATAAACCTGGAGATATTATAAGGGAGAGCTGAGCCAGTTGTCCTATGGACAACTTATTTAAAAATATTTCAGATATCAAAATTCTAGCTGTATGATTTGTTTTGAATTTTGTTTTTATTTTCAAGAGGGAAAGTGGATGGGAATTTGTCAGCGTTCTACAAGGCAAATTCACTGTTTCACTGAAATGTTTGGATTCTCTTAGCTACTGTATGCAAAGTCTGATTATATTGGTGCGTTTTTACAGTTAGGGTTTTGCAATAACTTCTATATTTTAATAGAAATAAATTCCTAAACTCCCTCCCCTCTCCCCCATTTCAGGAATTTAAAATTAAATAGAAAAAAAAAAAAAAACCCAGCGCACCTGTTAGAGTCGTCACTCTCTATTGTCATGGGGATCAATTTTCATTAAACTTGAAGCAGTCGTGGCATTGGCAGTGTTTCGGTTCAGACACCTGTTCACAGAAAAGCATGATGGGAAAATATTTCCTGACTTGAGTGTTCCTTTTTAAATGTGAATTTTTATTTCTTTTTAATTATTTTAAAATATTTAAACCTTTTTCTTGATCTTAAAGATCGTGTAGATTGGGGTTGGGGAGGGATGACGGGCGAGTGAGTTTAAGGATAATGAAATAATCAGTGACTGAAACCATTTTCCCATCATCCTTTGTTCTGAGCATTCGCTGTACCCTTTAAGATAGCCATCTTTTTCTTTTTAACCCTAATCTTTCACTTGAAAGATTTTATTGTATAAAAAGTTCCACAGGTCAATAAATTTAGAGGAAAATGAGTATTTGGTCCAAAAAAGAGGAAAAATAATCAAGATTTTAGGGCTTTTATTTTTTCTTTTGTAATTGTGTAAAAAATGGGAAAAAAACATAAAAAGCAGAATTTTAATGTGAAAACATTTTTTGCTATAATCATTAGTTTTAGAAGCATTGTTAGTTTAGTGTGTGTGCAGAGTCCATTTCCCACATCTTTCCTCAAGTATCTTCTATTTTTATCATGAATTCCCTTTTAATCAACTGTAGGTTATTTAAAATAAATTCCTACAACTTAACGGAAACTTAAGTGTCCGCCTCTTTGTTACGAAGGGCCTCAGGGCAGAGTTGGGGCTGGGACTTAGTGTGGGATGAGGTCCCACCACTCAGGTCAGCAAGAGTAGATTTCCCCAGGAGCAGATGAGGCAGGGCCTGGCCTGGAAAGGGTGTGCCTGTGCTGCTGCTGTGGGTATCGGTTGAAGGCGATCCAAAGTCCATATCCTTAGATAAAGACAAGGAAAGAAAGGTGCAAAAAATCCACAGTAAGAGGTGGAGTGCAAAGACAGCATCAGAGGCCTAGCGTAGGTAAGGTTTATTGAGCAGGATGTTGCAGCTGTATTTGAGAGTCAAATTTTTTGAGAGCTTTCCATGTGTACCGGCCAGAAGCAGAAGGGAGCTGCTTTGGGTTTGCTCATGTGGCTAAACTTCTTATAATCAGGATGGGGAGAATTAAGAGTACCAGATTCTAGAAGCCCCTTCCCAGGTGGAATATAAACTACTCCCTGCATTGACTGCTTAATTGAAAGAGGCAGTGTGGTCTTTGAGCACTTTCCGGTGCTCCAGATGCTCTAGCTGGCTGTTGTCTCTAAAAAAGTTGTTCCTTTGCTCATCCTAACTTCTTATAGCTAAGTCTGGAATTTGGAATGAAAGGTGAGGTCTCTAGGTTAAATGGACTACAGGGAGCAGGAAGGCCAGAAGGTTCAGAATTGGTAAATTAATGGAAGGGCCCTGGGCCCTCTAGCTTGTTAGCATGAGCAGGTGTCTTGGGAGGCAAACGCCTGGTCTCTGTTCTCCCTGGGGCTGGGGGCAGGGCTGGTTACTCGGCCCACAGTAGAGAATCCTGGAGGTCCTTGGCAGCCTGTATTTTAGCCAGCCAAATAGGCAATATTCATCCCAGGGAATAAAGGGGGCTATGTAGCCATCACTGCTATGGAGCAAGAGACTCCAGCCAGGTGTTTTTGAAATCTGTGTTAAGGCAGCTGGACCACTAAATGTACGGAATACAACAGAGAGGCTCTTTTGGTACCCATTTAATATACTGGCTGGTTGGGTAAGTAGGTAGGTGATAAGTGGGCCTCAGATGCAACAGCTAGGGGACAAACTTTAGAACTAGAAGTCAGGTAAGGTGGTCTTGCAGGCAGAAGACCTTGCTGATGAACAGGAAGTAATGTCTACCTCTCTGGCAAGGACCTCCCTTGCAAGTCTGAGGGCAGATGCTGGGTGGCAAGATGCTGGTCAACACAACTGAGAAGGGCATCCCAGACAGTGGCAGCAGGCCTGGGAGACCAAAGCCAGAGAATGGGAAGCTGACCTGGCCACTAAGGATGAGAAAGGAGGCTGAACAGGTAGGTGGGGACCTTGAAGGATGCTTGAGCCAGGAGTCCAGAGTAAACTTACCCCCTTGCCTAGTCCAGTAGGTTTTATTTCCAGCCACGTCCAAGAATAGGCAAGATGGGCAGGGTCTGAGAAACTCCCTCCCATCAGGCCTTTGTATGATGCCCGAGTTCGGTGTGGGCAAAGGGCTTCCACATGCTATCCAAGCCAGATACCTGTGTGCAGACTTGGCTCCTCTCTTCCCTTATCTCACCTTCACCTCCCACCACCCATATCTGGCCAGCAAGTCCTGTCTGTCCATTCTCCCTGCTAAAAGCTGTCAAATTTCAGGCCTCTGCTACATTAAAACATGGAGAAAAAAAGAAAAAAAAAAAAAACTTCACAACCCTCAGCCCTTTCCAGCCACTACCTCTTTTTTCCCAAACAAGCACCTGCAATGAGTCATCTACACCATCCAGTCATTCCCCCACCCACTGTAACTAGCTTCTGTCCCATCAGCCTGCAATTCCTTCTCTTCACTCTAAACACTCTCACCAATGACTAAGTGACCAAGCCAATACACGGGCTGTCCATTCTGCATCTCACTTATGCTCTTTGTGGCACTGGACACTGTTAACCACTCCACCATTTTGAGGGTACAATGATTTTTAGTAACTTTGCTGAGTGGTGCAACTGTCAACCATAAATCAATTTTAGAACATTTTCATCTCCCTGGAAGATCCCTCATGCTCATTTACAGTTAACCCACATTCCCACTCCCAGCCTCCACTAACCTTTCTAAATTTGCATTCTGAACATTTTTTGTACATGGAATCATTCAATATGTGACCCTTCCCTGCTCAAAACACTTCTCTCTGGTTTTCACAATGCCACCCTCTCCTGGTTTTACTCCTGTCCCTATCAGGCTTTTTCTAAGTCACCTCTTCTATCAGGTCCTTAGTGCCATGATTCTTACCTCACTCAGTGTAGCTGATTTCATTTGCACCTAAAGGTGATGACTCCTCTTTCTTTCTAGCCCAGAGCCCTTTCTGAGCTCCAGACTCACATTGTCAACTACATCTCTGTAAGACATGTCTATGGGCACCTCAGTCTCAGCATCTCTGGAACTGAGCTCAGTACCTACCACACCAAGCCTGCTGGGCCTGGGCTTCACAGCTCAGTGAAGGGCACCACATCCACTCTGTCCCCCAATCCAGAAACTAGGGTGGCCACCATCCTTCACTCCTTTCATTTCCACACTCAGTAAATTACTCCAAAATCATCTCCTAAATACCATATACAGTACATATCTATTTATAATAGAAAATACTATAGGTATTTTCCCTGCCCAAAAAAATAATATTTTTCTGAGAAAATTTTACTCCTTAGAAATTCCTCAAATAATGAGACACTGTCAACTTGTTTTGAACCAAAAAGCACTTTTTAGAGAAAACACATTGCCCTGAAATTACCTCAGTCAAGCCAGTTTTGGATGCTTATAAGTAGTCCCCTGACAAAACTCAGTAAACAAGGAGACAAAGAAATTTTAACAGAGACTTACTTAATTATTTCTCACAATTCCAAGAATTCCATGTACGCAAACCTCTTAAAGATCACTAAACAGCAAAACTTTAGATTTTATAATTGTACTGTGATATGTGTGTATGAGTGTGTAAATATATATACACCCACACACAATTTATTTTTTTCCCCCTGAGACAGAGTCTCAGTCTGTCACCCAGGCTGGAGTGCAGTGGCATGGTCTCAGCTCACTGCAACCTCCACCTCCCAGGTTCAAGAGATTCTCCTGCCTCAGCCTCCTGAGTAGCTGGGACTACAGGTGCGTCACACCACGCACAGTTAATTTTGGTGTTTTTGGTAGAGTCGGGGGTTTCACCATGTTAGCCAGGCTGGTGATCTGCCCACCTTGGCCTCCCAAAGTGCTGGGATTACAGGTGTGAGCCACTGCGTCCAGCCACAAATGTTTTTAAAGGAGTATTTTCGGCCAGGAGTGGTGGTTCTTGTAATCGCAGCAGTTTGGGAGGCCAAGGCAGAAAGATCACTTGAACCTGGGAGTCCAAGGCTACAGTAAGCTGTGACTGCACCACAGTAATCCAGCTTAGGTGACAGTGAGAATACACACACACACACACACACACACACACACACACACACACACACACACAGTCTTTTAGAAAAACTGAGATAGTAATGGATAACATGATAGAGTTGAGATGAGATTTGGGTCAAAATACTATGGGAAGGGTTAGTGGGTAGAATTTGGCATGAAACAAGAGTGGCCACCAATTCATTATTGAAGCTAGATGATGGGTACATGGGCGTTCACTATACACTTACACACATTTGAGATTTTTTCTTTTTGAGACAGAGTCTTGCTTTGTTGCCCAGGCTGGAGTGCAGTGACGCAATCTGGGCTCGCCGTAACCTCCGACTGCCATGTTCAAACGATTCTCCTGCCTTAGCCTTCTGAGTAGCTGGGGTTACAGGCATGTGCCACCATGTCCAGCTAATTTTTTTGTATTTTTAGTAGAGAAGGGATTTCACCACATTGGCCAGGCTGCTCTTGAACTACTGACCTCAGGTTATCCACCCACCTCATCCTCCCAAAGTGATGGGATTTCAGGCGTGAGCCATTGCACCTGGCCCAGCCACCATACCTGGCCAAGATTTTTCTTAAAAAATGTTTGTTTTGACACAGGGTCTTACCTCTGTTGCCCAGGCTGGAGTACCCTGGTGTGATCATAGCTCACCTCAGCCTCAAACTCCTGGGCTCAAACAATCCTTCAACTTCCTGAAGAGATGGAACTACAGGTGCATGCCACCATGCCCGGCTAATTTTTTTATTTTTATATTTTTACAGACAAAGTCTCACTATGTTGCCCAAGCTGGTCTCCAGCTGTTGGGCTCAAGCAGTCTTCCTGCTTCAGCCTCCCCAGATGCTGAGATTATAGGTATGAGATACTATGCCCAGGAGAGATTTTTCATAAAATGCTTAAAGCAATACAGCAACTGGTTATTTTGAAGATTATTAATATATATCTATGGAGGAAACTGGGGGAAAAGCAATGTTTTATGTTATACTAAAAGGTAATTACGCTTAGGTTACAATTTTCAGTGATAACATCATATTACTAATTCATAAAGTATTCTCTTTGCTGCAACATGGATAAATCTCAATAACATGCTGAATGTGTACACAAGAATACATGCTGTAGGATTCCATTTATGTGAAATTCCAGAATAGGCAAGACTCATCTGTAGTGACAGTCAGTCAGTGATTGCTAGATGGGAAGGAGACTAACTGCAAAGGGGCACCAGGAAACATTTTGGGGTGATGGAAATATTCTCTATCTTGATTGGGTGGAAGTTACATGAGGGTATACATTTGTCAAAGCACAAATTTTACACTTAAAAATGGATGTATTTTATATGTGAATTATTCCTTAACAAAAATTATTTTTTAAGTAAAACATTTAAGTAAAAAAAGTTGTTTGCTCTCTCTCAAACAACTTAGAAGGGAGGAAAAGTGATGATGTGCTTTGAGAGATTATATTAGATGACTCAAAAAGCAACTCATGGTGAAAATACATAGAAATCCAAGATTCATGTAAAAATTTGAATATAATTTATTACTGAAAATATGAGTATGAGAAAAATCAATATTCATGAAACAATATATTGTTTTAAATGTGTGATTTAAAGTATGTACATATAACTAAATAAACTGTTATTTGTGGACATTTGCATCTCTAAAAATGTTTCTATTTTAGTTGCAAAAAAAAAAAAACTCACAAAACAACCTGAAAATGAGTGTGGTGGCTCACGCCTATAATCCCAGCACTTTGGAAGGCTGAGGCAGGCAGCTCAGAAGGTCAGGAGATTGAGACCATTCTGGCTAACACAGTGAAACCCTGTCTCTACTGAAAATACAAAAATTAGCTGGGCATGGTGGCACGTGCCTGCAATCCCAGCTATTCAGGAGGCTAAGGCAAGAGAATAGCTTGAACCAGGGAGTGGGAGGTTGCAGTGAGCCGAGATCGAGCCACTGCACTCCAGCCTAGGGATACCATCTCAAACAAAAAAAAAGAAAATGTGTGTCTTATATCTGGAGTGGCTATTTCTTTCAGGCATGTACAGTCTCTCACTTTGCTCTATCCCCACAGCCACTATCAGGTCTCAATAAAGCCAAGTGTCCCTTCCCAGTGCTCCAGGGGTCCCCATCACACTGAGTTTTCATGGTCTGTTGGCATTTCTGTACCCACTGCTAGAGTGGGAATCTACTCTGACTCACCTGTGCTGTCTTAGTGCTTGTGCTTTAAAGGAGGCATTGGTGAAGTGTGCTGCAAGGAGGAGAGAAACAGAAAAAAGCAGGTCTGCCCTGGCCTGGGCCAGGGGCTAGCAAGGGTTTTCCCCTTCTTTTCCTTTATTGCCATATGTCGCCTCAGTGATACGATCACAGTGTCCCTGCCACCCCCCAGAAGAAGGTACATCTGCAGCCCAGCTGGAGAACCTCAACATCAGGGTCCCACTATGGGGGCCAATCAGCAGAGAGACAGCAAGGTGAGACAGCAGTCCCTGGGAGCAGCCAAGCTAGGTATGATTTTGCTTTGAGAGAACACAGGAGGCTCTTGAGGGACTGAAAATACATCCCGGGTGAGGAGGAAAGCAGGTGGACATGACCTAAGAAGTGTGAGATCTGATGACTAAGTTGGAGCCACAGATAGATTTAGGGGCTGGGGGTCAGAGGCCTGAACAGCAGGTTGTGGGTGGAGTTCAAGGTGCACTGAGGTTAGTTCTTAGGGAGTAGTACTGGCTGTGTGAGGAAGTACAGGCTGGCTCACAACCCAGAGGAGGGGTTGTTCAGATGTTTGACATGAGAAACAGTAAAAATTAAAGAATGGTTTAAAGAAAAAGGACAATGTTTTACACGTGGATTGAATTAGACACTGCAAGACTATAAATCTGCTCCCTTCGAATGTGAGAAGGGCTTCATTGAGCTATACTTTTATATTATGCCTTTGATATTCACTCACGCCTGTTACAAAGAACAAATGAAAACAGCATCAGCATTTGCTATTCATCCGTTGCGAACATAATCCACTATTTCAATCAAATAAGTATCCAGGTGAGAAACTTTTTATAATTAGCCCCAGAAAATGTTTTTACCCCAAAGAACCAATTAACAGAATAGAAAGGGTTGCTTTGGCTGCCAGGAAGCTCAGCCATGTTTAATTCTCAATCACATCAGCTACGTTAACCCATAAACTATATTACAGTCCTCCTTATAATCTCGTCTCCTGTTTCTATATTTTGTTCTTTATTTTTAAGTACTCAAAACTTTTTTTAAAGGGCTGTAAAAGAATACATTTGTGATAGACATAGCACGTGTCACCCAGATCCTCTTCAAGGAAGGACTTGTTGACCCAACTACTGGGAGAGCTGTTAGCAGAAAATCTTTAGCTGTCAGCCCCTGGAAGATCACCTTGGCTGCAGACAGAGAGCCGTCTGGCCCAGGCTGGGCTCTTCCCAGGGCCCTTCCAGGCTAGTGGCAGACAGCAGAGATTCTGGGGGTTGGCTGAGACTGTCATCAGGCCTGCGTCTCGGTTTAGTTTTCCCTGTGCCCACTCCTGTTTCTTTCCAGTACCTCCCAGAGTATTGATCCCAGGGGCACTCCCTAATAAATGTGCTGTACACTAACCTGTCACAGAGTCCGAGTCCAAAGAACCCAATCTGTGACAGCACTAAATAAAAAGATTTGCGGGAGACGGAGGCAGGAGAATCGCCTGAACTCGGAAGGCAGAGGTTGCAGCGAGTCAAGGGTGCACTGTTGCACTCCAGCCTGGGCAACAAGAGAGAAACTCTAACTCCCGAAGAGCGTGAGAGCAATGAGAGAGAGAAAACATATCAGGTAGGGGTATTTTACAAAGTGGAGAGGATATACAATAAAGTGTTCATACATACACGGGAAGCAAAACAGCATTGATTCTGGGGCCAGACCACCTGGGTTTGAATCCTGCCCTTTACCTCTGTGCCTCAGTTTTTTCATCTGGAAAATGGGGATAATAAGAGCACTTATAGGGCTGTAATGAGGAAGAAATGAGACAATGTGGATAAAGCAGTTCCTTAGTGTTTACTATATGCCAACCACTGTTCTAAGTGGTCATTTAATAAACAACTGTGAGGCCAAACCCATAGGGCCAGAGGGGCAGTTGGGCCAAGACTCTCCCCAGACTCTGGGCACAGGCACAAGTACGGTGTAGACCAGGGTATGTCGAAGCATGAGTGTTCACAGAAATAGGCCCGAGCAGGGCTAGCCTGGGTGACATCACAGGCGTGTGCCTTGTGTGGGTGCTGGGCTGCTCCTCCCAGACAGCGCAGCTGCACGTATTGCCAGTCACACCCACGCATCCATATATATGCTGAGCTGGGGGAAGCCCACACAGACCACACCCTCTGTGTGCCCTGTTTTTCCTGCACCTCCTTTGGTAGAAGGAGGCACCTGAGGCCTGGGATGCTGGCCCAGAAGTCCCAGGAGGAAATGGGCACTGTTCCCTGATTACAGGCCTGGCAACAGGCTGAAAACTCAAGCTCTTGTTGGCAGGGATTTCTTGAGACCCTGGAGGTCCCGCTCCCGAGGCAAAAGTAAAAGCAAGAAGCCTTACACTGCATGTTGGAAAGCTCCCCAAAAAAATGGAGAAACAGATTTAAAAAGTGCATCACAGCCCACAGGCTGCCCGAGTCAGCACAGGAAGCTCAATGAGGGCTGCAGCACTCAGGAGGGTGCCTCCTGGAAAAAACAGGATCAGGCAGCCAGAGAGGGACCCCATTCAGCCCCTGCCCGCCTTCCTGGCCTCATCACTCCCTATCTCCTCCTAAGTCAGGAAACTCTTGCTTTCTTTGTATCTCTAAATTCAACAACCTCTTCCTGGCCTCAGGGCCTTTGTATGTGCTATTACCTCTGCTTGTAACTTACATTTCTCCACACCACTTTAATAATTCGTATCGCCATCGGCCCACTTCCTTTAGGCCTCTGCTGGGTTCTGAAGAGATCTCCCTAATGTTTTTTCTCCTAGCCCTCATCACAAATGTCTTTTTTTTTTTTTTCTCGAGACAGAGTTTTGCCCTTGTTGCCCAGGCTGGAGTGCAATGGCGTGATCTAGGCTCACTGCAACCTCCATCTCCCAGGTTCAAGCAATTCTCCTGCCTCAGCCTCCCCAGTAGCTGGGCTTACAGGCGCCCACCACCACGCCTAGCTAATTTTTGTATTTTTAGTAAAAATGGGGTTTCACCATATTGGCCAGGCTAGTCTCCAACTCCTGACCTCATGAGCTGCCCACCTTGGCCTCCCAAAGTGCTGAGGTTACAGGCTGGAGCCACCACTCCCGGTTTCACAATTGTCTTAACAGAGTGTTTGTTTAATGTCTGAACTCTCGGAGAACTGGCGCTGGGTCTCTCTAGTGCTCCTAACTCATGTTGTCAATGCCCAACACAGGGAAGAGCAGGGTCCACAGAACTTTAAGCCTAGGCCAGTCTAAGCCACACTCTGTGAGCACTCACGTTCTGCTGGATTCCTTGTGCCCAAGGCCAGCAGTGGGCATGCCTCCCCTCACCCATGCTGATGAACTAGCTAGCCTCCATGCTCACTGACTACTGGCCACCATCAGGACTTACCTAAGCCAGTGGATCTCCTGTGAGGCAGAAAACTCATGGAGTCAGGCTGACTTGGGTTCTAACTCCCAGCTGTTAGTTATGTGGCTTTGGGGAAAGTTGTAGAACTTCTATGAATCTCTGTTTCCTCACCAGTAAATTGGGGACCATCCTTCCTGATTGGAGGATAATTATGAGGATCAGGTGTGACCACAGGTGCATGCCTTCAGCACCCGGCGAGGCACGTGGTCCGCGCTAGCTCCCAACTGCCCCGATAAAGGCCTGCCACTAGATGGCAGTTCATCTCAGCTACCCCACAGCTCCTTATGCCACAGAAGCTGGCTAGGGCAGTGTCTCCATGTCATGCTGAATTCTGAGCTTCTTAGAGGACGAACTTGAGGAAATCAACAGAACACACAAGTTGCCACTACAGGAAGACAAAGTCAGAGGCAGCAGCCCCAGGTCACTATCCAGCTGGGTGGGTTGCCTGAGTACACACTCTTACACACTTACAAACTCCAGTCTAGTCCTACCATCTCACAAATCCCAGGAAGCCTGGCTCTTTCTCTGGCATCAGCTGGAAGCTCTGTTTGGCTTCTCACCTCTGAAATGCAGTAAGTTGTCCTGCTGCGTCTGGCAGCCGACCCACCGCCTGGCTCAACATGTCAGACAGGCTCCACCGTGACCGTGGGTGTCCTCAATTTTGGTGGTGCTGACAGGAGTAGATAGATTGCAGGGGTGAGTTTCAAGAATGGCTTCAGAAAGACAGAGTACGAATTATTCCATAACCAGAAAAAGGCCTTGTCGCTGGAGACTGGAGAGTGAAGGGTCACCTGTGAGAGATGAAACCGGTCCTATAGAACCTGCTGGGCCAAGCAGGGAGTGTGGATTTTAGGTGCAATGGGAATTCATGGAGGGCTTTAGGCTGGATGTAGCGGATCATGATTTAATTTCATTTAAAAATTTTAAAGCATGGAGAATAGATCCAGGCAAGACCAAACAAAATAAATAGTCTGGGTGACAGGAGATGAGGCCTTCAGCTTGTGGGTTGAGTGAACAGGTCTTGATGGATTGGAGGTGAGGCAGAGGGATGAATCGGTTATCTGCACGGTTTTTGGCCTTGCAACGTAGAGGAGTTTAGCGCCACGTTCTGATAAAGTGAAGACTGTGGAAGGAAACTTTAGGGAGGGAAGGTCAGTCGCCTAAGCAGGGATGTGGAACGTAGGGGAGCTACAGGTTTGGAGTCACCGGTGCCTTTGTAGTGGGTAAAGCCAGGGTTAAAGATCAGGTAGCCTTGGGATCTGACCTAGCACTGAGTGCAGGGGAACAGAAGCTTCTGAGATCGAGAGGCAGCGGTCACAGGAAGGAAGGAAGGCAAGGCGGGGAAAATCAAAGTTCAGGAGAGCATTTGCAGGAGGGACGCTGTGGGGTAGGGTCTGAGCCCGCGCCCCGGATCGGACCCAAGTCCTGCTCGTGGGGGCCGAGCGTGGGGCAAGCAGCGGCCCATGCGAGGGACAGACACCAAGGCCCTGGGAGCTGCAGGTCAGGCCGCTGGACAGCGCGGCCGCGAATCTAAAGGCCCTACAAGAGGTGCTCACGCTTGGGGGAACTCTCCGAACGAGAGGACCACTGAAGGACACCCTGGCAGCAGGGGCAGAACAGACAGACGTGGGCCAGGCCGTCGCAAGAGCGGCCTGCGGGCCAGCCCCGCGCTACCAGGGGGAGGGGGCGGGACAGGCCGGCTGTCCATCAGTGCCAGCGGCCAATCCGCAGGCGGACCCGCCCCCGCCCCCTCCCAGGAGAGGGCGCGCGGAGGACCCGCCGCCGCCGCCGCCGCCGTCGCCGGTGTGAGCGGCCCGGCCTGGCTCCCTTCGCTGGGAAGCCCGCCCAGGTAACTGGGTTTGGCCAAGCATGCCCGGGGAGCGCGCCACCCCCTCACGTCCCGTCCCGGTCGCTGCATGGGCGGTGTTCGGGACGCGGGGGCTGCGTCTGTGCAGAACCGCGGGCTGGCGGCCGCCCGTGCGAGTGCGCCTGACTGACGCGCCGGCCGCCGGGCCTGCGGCCTGTGGGCGGGGCTGCCGTGCGTGACGGGGCCGGTCGTGGCCGCCGGGCTGTGTCCGGGGCCGCGTGAGGAAGCCCTGCGGGACTGAGGGTTGGGTGGGTCGACCGGGATCGGCGCGCGCTCCCGTCGCCATCGTGCCCCCACCCCCGGCCCTGCCTGCGGCCTGTCTGGGGGTCGCGGGGCGCAGGCGCGACGGGCCGGCGGGCGGGGGTCCTCCCCACGGGTGCGCGGGCGTCTTTGTTCCCGGCGCGATAGCGGGGCGGGGCCTCAGGGCCGCCCCGCCCCGCGGCGCTCAGGCCCCGCCCCTGTCCGCCTGCAGGAGCTGCCGCCGGGTCCCGCTCGTCGGCCGCCTCAGTCTCTGCCCCAGCCTCGGCTGCCGCCTGCTCCCGGGCCGTCCCAGCCTGCGCCACCGTCGCCCCCAGCGTCGGAGCCATGGCGGGCGCCGCGTCCCCCTGCGCCAATGGCTGCGGGCCTGGCGCGCCCTCGGACGCGGAGGTGCTGCACCTCTGCCGCAGCCTCGAGGTGGGCACCGTCATGACTTTGTTCTACTCTAAGAAGTCGCAGCGACCCGAGCGGAAGACCTTCCAGGTCAAGCTGGAGACGCGCCAGATCACGTGGAGCCGGGGCGCCGACAAGATCGAGGGGGCCAGTAAGTGCGCCCCCTTCCCGCCTGGGCCCGTCCCAAGCAGAGGTGGTGGGGGCCGGGCCAGTCCGCCTGCGTCCCGGTCGGCCGCCCAAGAGACTTGGGCAAACTTTCGGGCCCTCCTCCACCCCCTCCGGGCCCCGCCCCCGCTTCGTCTCGGGTGGTCACTGGGGGCGGGGGGCATCCGGGTCCTCGGTCACCTGACAGGACACCCCCTCCCCCAGCTGGGGGGGAGTGTTCCAGGCACTTTGTCCTGAGGCCTAAAAATCCTCGGGGGCTGGAGACCCGCGGTGCCGGCATCAGGTCCCCCAGCCACTGGGAGTGGTGGCGGCGTCGGCGAGGGGAGCCAAGGCAGCGGCCCCCACCCAGCCGGGGAACTTGGGGCCTGACCAGACGGTCCCCGTCCACCACTCTTTCTCCAGAAAGAGCAGTCTGTGAAACTCTCTGGGCCCCCAGGCTGG